CCGGGGGGGGGGGGGGTTGCAGGAGGCAGCCAGTCAATGACTCACTTATCACTGATGTTTCTATCTCTCTCCCTCTCCCTTCCTGTCTCTGAGAAAAAAAAAAAAAAAAGAGTTGTCATTTAACGCAAACTTAAAAAAAAAAATCTCAGCTCAGTATCACCTTCCTGACCTTTAATCCACCCAAATGTTTACATCTCATCCTGTTACCACAAGACCTTATATACAAATCTATTGTTTCACGATACACAGAATTACAACTTACCTGATCATGTCTGTTTCATTTACTACACTGTGGGTGACTGAGGGGCAAGAAATGGGTTATTACTCTGTTTCCCAGTACTGAGGACATAGTAGTTGAGCAATAAAAGCTAAATGAATTTAATCAACTGTGCAAAAGTACAAACTGTTGCAGATGTGCAGGGTGGAGAGATCCATGTAAGAGAAGTGACATGGTTGGATAGAAGCCTCTATCAAAGATGACTGCAGCAGATCCTTCTCAAAGTTACAGAGGATAATATAGGGGAGAGTTTTCACACTGCCCTCTTCCACGTGAGTTAGTATAGTATATAGTAGCTCAAGATCTCTGAGCTGGCTCTTAGGTAGATGTGTATGCACCTCTGAGCCAAAATGTAGGCAGAACTACTGTCATACATACAATATTTATCACTATTCTATAAAGCTTCCCAGAGTGTGAATATAATCTTTCAACGTGGTATATTTTGGGCCACATTTGGAAGCTGGCTCACTTCAAATGTGAGCCACATTTCTATTAAAAAATCCAACATAGCTGACTACAGATAACGAAAATTAACAAGACCTAGGGTCAAGTGGGAATTAGTTCTGTCATTTTGCCTCTGACTTACAAACTCACAATTGCCCATTTTTCAGCCTGAATGTCCCATCTGTACCTTGTAACAGGTTTCATGGTTTTGTTTATTCTCTTTATCACCAATGGAGGCTACATCACACTGGTTTTTGTAAAACAATCAACGTCTGTTATATCTACTAGACTGGGACTTAAGTGACTAAGTAGTCGAAACACTTAATACTACAGACAAAAAAAACTAAAGCCCAGGGAGATAGCAATAACTTATCTAAGGACTAGTTACATAGCTAATTGGTGGCATGGCCACAACAATATACCCTTTCTGAAAGTATGATGACATTTGTGTTAGTTTTAAATATTTCTGATATACAAGTCAACCTTTAACAGCCAAACAGCTTACCAGACTGCTCATGAGCAGTAACAAAGCATAATGTTAAACTGCTCAAATAAAAGGATGCTTTCTACTGACAATTTATGTGCATCAGATAGAAACTGAAGAGCAGGTAAAGAGGAGTCAAAGCATCTTTCAACGATTTTTGAAAAGAACATTTTAGACATAGATTAATGGAATGTTAGTTACTATCATTTACTTGCTCTGAAACAATTATGTGGTTTTAAGAAATGGACTGTAAGGTCGTCTACTAAAATGGTACCTAAAGGCTTCTCAAAGAGCCATGTTTCAATGACTCAGAAAAATCCCCCCCGCGCCCCCGTCTTAACCTAGGATATATTTTAGCTTCCGATTTGCAGATATATTAGTGAAGCAGGGTCAGAAAATCTACACTAGAGCCAGAGGTTAACATACAGATATCTTGTTGCATTTTCCACACCATCAGTAAATTCAGAAAGGCTTCTCAAAAGACGAAGTTTAAAGACATCTGAGACAGGAATATCCCAGCCTAAAATTAAGACATTAACTGAGCTGTCTCTCTTCCAGACGGAAAAAAAGGGATGAGGGAAAGACCCCAGGCTCTCCATGTCAGTGTGGGCAACAGTTACAGCAAGGTGGCAAATTACTTACTCGATCACTTGTGGGTTCGGGACGCTGCGTACCACCTGCAAGGAAACAGGCAGATCTTACTCTGGAATCGCTCCTCACCCTCAGGGAGGTTGACTTGCAGGAGTATAATATCTTCTCATTCTGGTCAAAGTAAATCAGGTTTAAAACTATCCTTTTTTTATTCCAAGCTCTTACTATCCTACCAGAAAACCTTGTTTCTGCTTTTCTTTGAGCTACTTTATAGTTACTAGCGAGCAATAAAAGATGATGCAATTGGAATCAATCCATTTTCTTAACAGCCAGCAGTTCTGGAAAAACCTTTGCACATTTTTAAAAACAGATGCTATTCTATGAAGTAAAGGGTTTTAATCATTATTTATAAGATCATTACTATAGCCCCACCGGGTGTGGTTCAGCGGTTGAGCATTGACCTAGGATCCAGGAGACTCCCAGTCAGGCCACATGTCTGGGTTGCGGGCTCGATCCCCAGTCAGGGACGTGCAAGAGGCAGATGATCAATGGCTCTCTCTCATCATTGATGTTTTCTCTCTCTCTCTCTCTCCTCCCCCTTCCTCTCTCTGATATCAATAAAGTTATATTTTTTTAAAAAATCATTACTATAGCACAGCAATTTTCAACCGGTGTGCCATAAGGATTTTTAAAACATGCAATACTTGACTATTTAGTCAGGGGCACTGGCCTCTTTTCCCTTAAATTGTCAAATAAAACAATGACAAGAGCCAACACAACAACAGCCATCCGGTGTGAATGTCCTGTCTTGAACCATAAATATATAGGTCATATAATAGAGTTGCATCTTATTGGTCACGTCACATAATAAGGTTGTGTCTGATTGGTTAATTCTTGGTACCAGAAATCCTTATATACAAGTATAGGCACCCGATTCTTTAAAAAATCACATTGGAGCAAAAAGGGTAATTACTTTTTTTGGTAAATCAATCAAAATTATACCTTTTTTTTTTTTTTTTGGTAAGATGGACAAAAATATATACTTTTAGGTGTGCTAAAGAATTTTAGTAATTAGCTTACATGTGCCGTGAGATGAAAAAGGTGAAAACTGCTGCTACAGCATGTGACTGATATTTAGCTCTTTTCCCCATATTATTAAAAACAGTGAATCTTCACTACTTCTTGCATTTCTCCCCATTGAAAAAAAGCTAAAATATCAAGCACTGTAGTTGCTGAAATTTCCATCCAATTTCAGAGATATTTGCTATACTAGCACTGAAGACAGCATGGTGTTAGGAATGTCAGAACTTAGATAACCAATGAAAGCTCTAGAATGGAATAACCTCTGTGCCAAAAAGAATGGGAATTATATATGCCCACAATTTAGGGGCAGACTACAAAGGATCCTCAGACATTTGATACTCTACAAAGGATATTCTACATTTCATTATTTTTATAGTCCTTTAACTCTCCTTTCATTAGTGAAATTATTCTGTCACTACTTATCTGAGTGTCTACTATGAGACTATAACTTTTATAAACTTTTATACTATTGAAGGAGAAGCAAGAATTTACCTGCTGGGGTTCTTTGAAGACAAACTGTTTGTCTGACACATGATACGCCTTGTTTGTCCAGGTCTGACCAGGGCTCTGGTGGAGATGGCTCTTGGCAGTGTTGGCTGAAATAAGAGAGAAAACGGGCTCAAGCCAGGAGAAAGTCTGCTCTCATCACCTTCTACAGAGCAAGGACCAATGAAATCCACTTAGAGATGACCTCTACGACATCTACAAATTAATTAGTAAAGTCTATTGAAGACCTCAACACACACACTGAAAGGTCTGAGTGGAGTGACTAAACAGGAGGAACACTAAAGATCAACCCTTAGATCATCATCAACAAATTCCGAGAAAATACTAGCCACATTTTAAATAATTCTTCAACATCGAAATGGGAGTCCGCTATAAACCAAAGGGATATAAGGAAAAGAGGCTGGTAGTTGTCCACATCCACAGGATCCCCACAAGTTCTTGCCTGGCTGAGCAACCGCCTGGCTCTTGGCAGAGCCAGCCCAGGCTCCCTGCACTCGGGCTCGTCGTCTTTTGTCCTCCATGTTGACCAAAAAGGCTTCTGCTCTTAGCTTGCAGAAGATTCCATTCCTGATAGGAACCACACAATGGTTATCTGTTTAAAAAACAAACCAACATGTTTTTAGTTGGGGTTGTGAGAACTTGTACTTCTACAGCAGTAATTATAACTCTTTCAGGCAGAAGAGACTGCTCAACAGCAACCAGAGCTTCTATATAAAATCAGCTTCTGCCATCACAACATCTAATCAAGGAGCCTACTACGTCACTTAGGGCTGCTGGCGTTAAGGTTTACCTTTTGTAATCTTATTATAGTACTTTCACTTAATTCACAAAAAAGTGCATGTTAAGAAACTCTAAAACTAGGATTATTACTCTTATTAGTCCCCAACAGCAGAACTTAAGGAAACTATAATAGTCTACCTACATGGAAACTGAGAAACAGGCTAAGACTCGCTTTCCAAGAACATTTTCATATCCTGTTATCATGGGCTGCATCAAACTTCCCTGCAAGTTTATTAAAGACATCCATGGCCTTGCCCTGGCTAGGTGGCTCAGTTGGCTGGAGTGTCATCCCATACACCAAAAGGATTTGGGTTTGATTCTCGGTCAGGGCACATACCTAGGTTGCAGGCCTGATCCCCGGTGAGGGCACATATGGGAGGCAACAGAGGAGTGTTTCTCTCTCACATTGATGTTTCCCTTTCTCTCTCTAAAAATCAATAAACATTAAAAAAAAAAATCCACGGCCTCAGAAGATCTACTTTGGGATGGATACAGGTGTAATAAGCTTGTAGGAGATATGTATGACGACCATAAGGTTAAGTGCTTCACACAAAGTCACTCAAGAAGTCAACAGCAGATATATTAACATTCAGATTTTATTAAGTTACAGTCTTCAGCTAACTGAAGAATTCACCTCATAATGGTCAGTAATGTAATACTAATTTGACATTTTTATCAATAAATTTTTAGTTCACAGCAAATACAGGAGTATGCAGAGCTACCCAAAACAGGGAGGTTTCGGGCCTTGTGTTTTGAAACTATGATCCTTTTCTTTATGCGTCTATCTAAAAAAGTTTCTCATCTCAGGTTCTCAAAGGTTAACAAAGTTATTTTCATAGATTGTTTAGCCTACCAATTACCA